ACCGCATCCAGAAACGCACGGGTGATACGTTGTCTGTGGCAAGACGCAACGTCATCTTTACACAGACGTAACATCGAGTTTGCCTGACACAACGTCGTCTTTAAAAAGACGGACCCGTGAATGCTCTTTTAGGGGAAAAGCTCTTTTAGCGTGCTGAAGCGCACAGGGGAGATGGCTGCCTGCAACACAAACAGGGGGTAGTGCAGCCTGATGTGTGCACCCCACTCGACGTGGGAAACCACCTCCGCTGAAGCGCCGTACCACCAACACCAAGAGCTCCAAAGAGCACGCTGTACTCATTCAGTTTTCTTCTCTCAGTAGAGTAGTCAAGAGCAAAACGATGTGATTGCTCGGCTCCAAAACAAAAAGCTGGGATGTGTTGCACCTGCTACATTTTTATGCTCATAACATTGAATTATCAGAGAGGAGTGAAGAACACAAGAAGCATACTCCGATATATATATATATTTTGTAAACGGCAAACTCAAATCACATCAAATCCACATACAACAATATGTAACTCTTATTAATATAATGCATCATACATTTTGTGATGATTAAGAAATAACTCACAGTAGTATCTAACTACCTCATAAAAAAACATCAATGCATTCATGGCTTTCTGGGGAGAATGTACATATAAATAACAATACATATAAAGTAAAAAAGCCACCACGCGACTCTCATTAATATAATGCAACACAAATTTTGTTAAATAATAACTCGCAGTACCACAGTTTCTACAGCAAAACCTCTCATAAAACCATCAATGCATTCATGTCTTTGGAGAGGAAACAAATGATATATTTTATCATAAATTTTGTAAGAATACATGTAATATCATTGATATTACAGGTGTTTTTACTCTAGTACCAAAGGAGCTACTACATGCCTGGACAATGTTACATGCATATTACATTCATTCATAAATATTTCTCAAATGACCACTATAGCTTGGAAGTGATCATCCCTGCTAGCTACATGCTAATCATTTCTTCTGAGTGCAGAATGGACTGTACTTCAAACCCTACTGATCTGCCTACTTTAAGTTTGAACATGCTAAAAAGTGAAGCCAAAATATTTTCATCATCCCCTGGTGGCTGGCTGCAGCATAGGTTATAAAACTAAACTAAGCAAAACTTAGAAAAAAAATCTAATTACACTTCAAATACATTTTTTATTATTATCTTATATAATTTATTGCACACTAATATATTTTGAACTGTTCATTTTTCTAATTAGTTTTAGTTATTTATTTAATGCTGTAAAAATAGGGTGTGGTGTCTAGCCGTTTCTAATGTTTTGTCCTGGAGTAAAGGGATGATAGTTGTCAATCACACCACTGTTGTTTTGTGGCATCAAACAGACAGAGCTTTCTTAGTTTTCTAGTAGTCTAGTACTGATGTGCATAATAGGGGAAAAAAACACTCAGAAGGAAGGAGTTATCTGACACTCTCACGCTCGCCTTAAGTTACTACCCCTGTGAGAAAATTATTACATTTATGGTGCCTGTGAGAAGCCAAATCATTACACCATCTTGTTCACTTTACAGTTTATTTTGTAAGTCAAATTGATTTAAAATGACATGTTACCTTTTGATTTCAGGTCACCTGACATTATGTCACTAGTTGACACTATGGAGAAATGTGGATGCAGTGTCCTTCCTCGCTCAAAGTGTTTGTGGGTTCTAAACGCCACTACAGGCAGCTGACTTATCACTCTCTCTCAAGATAGTGCCCTTACTTGCACTCACTTTGGTAAAGCATGTAGGAGACATATAGCCAGAACTGATCAGCTGATGCCTTTTACATGGAATTTGGCCAAACAACTGCAGAGTAATTTTTAAACCCCAAAAAGGGTTACTTCCAAAAAGGAAAGGGGCTCTCAACACCATTCAGAGCCCAGGACATAACTTTGCCCATTTTCTCTCCTGAACAGCCGACCATAGTGGGATCTGTATGCTGTTTCATTGATCTGGCCTTTATGCGCACACTGCACATTTACATTGAACGCTCCAGACCAGCGGTTCATAATCCTGGTCCTCGCAACCCCCACTCTGCCCATTTTGCATGTTTCTCTTATCGCTTCAGAGGTTTGTTCCATTCGACCATAAGTGCCCTGCAAAGTGGATATTCCACCATGATTCCAGTTCAAAAGGAGTATATATGTTCCATTTAAAGGGCATTAAAGTGTGAGAGACATGATTACTATGCAAATCTCATGATTTAAATTAGTTAAATAACCCTTCACACTTCTGTAGTAAATTTTGTCTGTGTGTGAAGACGCAGCGGTGTAGCGCAAATCCATGTTCTTAAGTGAAGTAAACTTCAGATTTCCCGTCTGCAGGGAGTAGATAGCAGTGAACACTATAGGGGCCATGTAAATTGGAATACAGTTAATTAATGGAGCGCTGTTCTAACAAGCTGGTGATTTGAGTCAGGTGTGTTCAACAAGAGAGACATGCAAAATATGCAGAGTTGGGGGTCGAGAGGACCAGGATTAAGAACCGCTGCTCTAGACCAGGGGTTCTCAATTCTGAACCCCCTCCGTACAGATCGCGATCGCGTTCCCCTCGCCCCCTCCATCGTCGAGCCCTTAGAATCGTCCTAACCTTCCCCCTCTTATGCCGCCCCTGTTCAGGGTGATAGTTCTACCTCTGAATTCAGTGTGAGCAGCGAGCAGATCATGGCCCAGTAGTCATGTCAAGGCCAAGAAGGCCATTCATAAAAGGTTTATGGATCAAGTCATGGCCATGGAGGCCGTCCATGAACCTATTTGGCCCCAAGTTATAGCCACAGAGGCTATATATCAGGGGTGCCCAAACTCGGTCCTGGAGGGCCGGTGTCCTGCAGAGTTTAGCTCCAACCCCAATTAAACACACCTTTCAGGTGTGTTTGATTAGGGTTGGAGCTAAACTCTGCAGGACACCGGCCCTCCAGGACCGAGTGTGGGCACCCCTGCTATATATGAACCTTTTTGCCCAAAGTTAATGTGATGAAAATGACTATAAATGGTAAAGGTTAAATATAATTGAGACAAATTTGAATATATGTTGAATGTCATATTGACTTCACCAGTGTGGTTGTGTGTGCATGTGAAGCCTTTCATTGACACTGATGTATTACAGAATCCCAGACAAAAGTGAACACTGAAATGCTTTAATTGAATGCAGTAGCCTTTGGTGAAATGTGTTGTATTACTAAAAGAAATAAAATAAGTAGTAGTTGTTCTAAAAAAAAGTTAAATATGTGAATTCAGTGCTTATACGCTGAACTTAAAGGAAAAAAGCATTGCTCCATGCTCCATTTCTCTTGTCCAACAAGATGCTGTCTATTCTGTCTATATTATGCATTTTTATTTGACCCTCTAACTCTAGCACTCTCTATTCTGATTCTATTCTTTTAAAAAAGCATTGCTCTGTTCTTTTTCTATTCTATCTGTTTTCTTTTTATTTATTATAGTTCAAAAAAAAACCTTGCTACATTGTACTGCGTTAAGCTAACTGTGACTTGTTATAGCACTTGCATATTATTGCTCTTTTGTTGATTTTGATTGATTCCATTGTCCTCATTTGTAAGTCGATTTGGATAAAAGCGTCTGCTTAATGACTAAATGTAAATGTAATGTAAATGCATTCTGGCATTCCTGGCCTGATGCGGGTAACATTATATATACAGGTGCATCTCAATAAATTAGAATGTCGTGGAAAAGTTAGTTTATTTCAGTAATTCAACTCAAATTGTGAAACTCGTGTATTAAATAAATTCAATGCACACAGACTGAAGTAGTTTAAGTCTTTGGTTCTTTTAATTGTGATGATTTTGGCTCACATTTAACAAAAACCCACCAATTCACTATCTCAACAAATTAGAATACTTCATAAGACCAATAAAAAAAAAACATTTTTAGTGAATTGTTGGCCTTCTGGAAAGTATGTTCATTTACTGTACATGTACTCAATACTTGGTAGGGGCTCCTTTTGCTTTAATTAGTATATATATATATATATATATATATATACTGTATATATATTTACATCTTTCCAAGACATGTTTGTTCATAAAAAAGACAGATGACAATATGTTGGTTTAAAAGATACAGGCCCAGTTTCACAGACAGAGCTTAGCTTAAGCCAGGACTAGGCTTTGTTAAATTTTTATATTTAAGCAGCTTTAATAAAAATGCCTTAGAAATAAACATTACTGGCGTGCATCTTGAGAATAAACAATAGCACTGAAATATTTTAAGATATATCAGTGCAAGTTATTTTCAGTTGAGACAGCTAAAACATGCATTTTAGTCTGGGACTAGCCTTAACCCTTTGTGAAACTGGGGAACAATGGTGAGGAGGTCAGTCACCTGACAGTGGCTCTAAACAAATCTTGATTTGACACCCAACTGAAAATCTCAGGTTTTTAGTGCCCCCATGTGGGGATATAAATAATAATCCATGATCATTAAGTATTCAAATTTATTTCACTATTTGAGTGCACGTGATATGCAAATACATTTTTCATTTTGACTCTGAATTACAAAAATATATTAAAAATATATTTCAACCTACAATTATGCAAATACAGAGTAAGAATTTTATGTATTTTACATACAGTACCCTTTTGTCTGTATTTTTATAAATGCACACTAAACTCAAAAGTTTGGGGTCTGTAATATAAAAAAAAAAAAAAAATCTGTTATGCTCACCATGGCTTAATTTATTTGATTAAAAATACAGTAAAGTATTGTAGTATTAAAAAAAACTTTCTATTTAAATATATTTTAAAATTCTATGGTAATGCTGAATTTTCAGCAGCCAATTCTTTAGTCTTCAGTCACATGATCCTTCAGAAATAATTCTAATATGCTACATTTGATTTTCAAGAAGCACGGCTTATTATTTTCTTATTATACTTTTTTATTTATTTTTTTTACAATTTTTATTTTCTCTTTCAAAAAAGAAAAAGAAAAAAAAAAACAATGACCCCACACTTTCAAATGGTAGTGTATATTTTTATCTTCTTACAAGAGAGTGAAAAAAAGAATCACTGTTTGTAAATTATCCTCAAAGAAGCTCTGTTTAAACCCAAAATGTTTTTAAAAATCACTGTGACTGTACAATATTTCTAATTATTACAGTTTTCACTAAGGCTCTTTTGAGAATCTAGTCTCAATGTGCGCGTTCTGCTTAATGCTATGAGCAAATGTATGTAATGGATTCTGAGCATTCCTCTCTTAGAACAAGTAATACTGCTAGTCTGACATGCAGTGACTCATTCAACATAAAACAGGTTAACCCGGCTACACTGCTACCGGTTTCCATACATGTTTGTCGCCCAGGCCATTTATATTTATTCCTAAATAGTTTCGGTTTCATGGCGCCAGCATGAGTGCAAGTCAAGTGACAATAAACCACCAATATGATGGCATACAGTATGCACACGGCGGCAAATATAGATTGAGGTATGCCTCCACAGAATGAATGGAAGAATGCAAAAAGGAAATAATCAAGAAGGCTCAGAATATATTTTTGATTCAAAGCTGAATTGTGTTGTGAATTGTGCAAAATCAGCGTCAATAGCATTAACAGGACTGCATAAATTATGACTGTGCAAACTGGTTTCCAATTCCACCCATTCTCCAGTTTGTCACTGGACGACAGAATGGACAGTGTTGAAAGCACTTTCCAGGGAAACAGGTTACCAGTTGTCTCCGCACATTAACCCGGGATGGGGGAAAGCATTTTAACATCCAAATGACTACACGCTTCAGCTTTAACTAATGCAGTTTGTACATAGGGAAACTCTTGATGAGTGCATTAAGCATATTATATGTGTTCATTAAGAATACATAAAGGCGTTTGGTTCATTTGATACTAAAATAGCATCTCAGGTTTGCTCATCAAATCCCTGCACTTGGCTCATTTGCAGTTACATCAAATTTGTAAGCAGCAGTGTCTTTTAGTAGCGGTTTGCGTCAACGTAAGAGCTGAGATCTACATCAAAGAAGTCCTCGAGTTTCCACTGCAGAGCTTCAAAGGTGGGTCTGTCTGCAGGGGAGTCCTTCCAGCATACGGACATGATGTCATACAAATATTTTGGGCAGTTAAGAGGGCATGGCATCCTGTAGCCTTTGGACAACTGTTGTACCACCTGAAAGTTTGTCATGGCTGGAGAAAGAGTGAAAAGCAACATTAAAATCCTTCAATGCTTTGACCTGGTCAAAATTTACTGTATAGCATATAACAATGGTTCTCAACTTGTGGGTCGAGATCCAAAAATGGGTTGCAAGTTTGTTCTTACCCTTGTACAAAATCACACAAAAAACAGAAACCGAGAAAATAGAATATTAAATGCAGTTCAGTGAGGAAGGGCAGCAGTTCATACTGATATTAATACATTTTATAATTTGGTTTTAAGGACCTTTATTTTTGTACAATAAACTTTGTTTCTTTAGGAACCAGACTGTACATTGAACATAAACTGGCCCAGTATGGTGATATATATTTCCTACTGAAACACTGAAGGGATTTTTTCTTTTTAAAAATAGTCAGTAGCCTTTAGTTTACATCACACCATAACTTTCTACTTCATACTGCTATTGGATTGTGCCCCTGAAGCCTAGACAAATTATTAGTATTTTGGTCTATTTTTCTGTATGAGAACGATGGGTACAATAAGCGAAATTATAAATGAGAATGATGTACTTGGGTAAGGAATCTGTCCAAATGTCACAATTTCATATAGTAGGATCCCAAAAGACCAAACGTCAGATTTGATGGTGAATTTGTTCTCGTGGATGGCCTCGGGAGCAGTCCATTTCACTGGAAACTTGGTTCCTTCTTTGGCCTCATAAACATTCTCATTTTCCATCTAAAGAAATCATGCAGTGAGAAAGCCAAAAGTACAGTTTTTGTATTTTTTACCCAAAATCAGTGCATACAATATAGCAGTGGTTCTCAACAGATTGGCTTCAGAACATCAAGTGGTCAATCAAGATGAAATAATACAATGTACAGTATTAATAAAATAACAATGAACGGAATAGACCCAACAGTATCCAAATGTATTGATACTGAATAGGGAAATGGTCAATTTTGTAAATGAATCAAAATAAATAAAGATCAACTATAGGCCAAATATTGAAAAGACTGACTGAATACACACAACCTTTGATGTTGCTAAGATGATTTGCTTTACTATGCGTTTAGTTTACCATTTGCATTTACTGTCCGTGACACTATTGTGACAGATCTTTGACTCATTTTTGGGTAGCGACCCATTTGAGAACCACTGCCCCATAGGTAATCTGAGGGGTCAGGCCTTTTTATAAAAACTGAGAATATTTCTTACCTGAAATACACGTGCCAAGCCAAAGTCGGCCACCTTACACACATTGTTATCTCCCACCAGAACATTTCGTGCCGCAAGATCTCTGTGAATGTAGTTCTGTAGCTCAAGGAATGCCATGCCAGATGCCACTTGGGATCCCATTTCTATCTGATCAGACAATTGAAGAGAAGCACCTCTGTCTTCTGTATGAGAGAGAATATAGGGAATAAATATAATTAACATGTCAGATGTTGTTTTGTTACAGTTTCAGAATAAACTAACCTCAAAAACCTACGGTTTATGTGGTAAATAACCTACTAAATATTTACACAATGGGGGAATGAGATCTTGCACAACACTGGCCCTGATTATCTGTCCAAATAAGTTGCTGACACCAGGAGGAAAGGGTTCAGGGAAATGAGGCAGCTGAAGCAGTCTTTCCAGGTCCTGATTGACCTGCTCTTTCTGCCCATTAGTCTATGAGCCCCAGACACAGATCCCCAGTGAAGACCTTGTCTCCTAGACGGCCACCGGGACAAGACCACAGGAACCAGTTGAGTCCTCTGCACAATGTGACTTTGCTGCAGCCTGGAATTGAACTGCTGGTTTCGTCTGGCCAGAGGAGAACTGGCCCCCCGACTGAGCCTGGTTTCTCCCAAGGTTTTTTTCTCTATTCTGTGACCGATGGAGTTTTGGTTCCTTGCCGCTGTCGCCTCTGGCTTACTTAGTTGGGGACACTGAATATCCAGCGATATCGTCGACTTGATTGCACAGATACTATTTAAACTGAACTGAGCTAGATGATGACATCACTGAATTCAATGATGAACTTCCTTTAACTGAAAATTGAGTGTTTACTATTGTCATTTAGCATTATTGACACACTATTTTCCTAATTAATACTGTAAAGCTGCTTTGACACAATATGTATTGTTAAAAGCGCTATATAAATAAAGGTGACTTGACTTGACTTTAATGAAAGCCTAATAGGGCTGGGTGAATGCCCCCAACTGCCGACAGAGCTCCCTCCAAAATTGGACATTTTCAACCCCCATAGGGCATTTTAAACCCAAAATATGCTCATTAAAGAAATTTCTATTTATTAATCATGAATCTCACTATAATCTTATTGATGGTATTCCAGACTTTTCCCTTGCCTCAGTGTTCAAACAGTTTTTACATGAAGAATGTGTAAATCTTTCTTATTTTAAGATCATACATTTTTTTAATTTGCTGCAGCCCTTCAGAAGCTATTTTTTTATGAGCCCTCTTATTTTGTTCTGCAAGGTGCACTGTACTGTATATTAACCTTTACTGTAATGACCACAACCGCATGATACCTGCTAATAAGTGCATTTATGACTGACTTTTAAAATGTGGCAATAAGGAAGCATAGCCTGTGTAAACAAGGCTCCCCCCCCCCCCCCCCCCC